AAGTGGGACATTCAGAAGAATTCCCACTTGATTTTCATAACAGATGAGTTAGATCAATGTGGAAAACATCTGAAATTCCACTGGATTTTAGGAGCATTTGTAAAATGGAAGCAACATTAGAAATGCTGATGAACTTTGTTCAAATACTGATCTAAATTGATGTTTTGATTTACTATTCAGAATTGAAATACATCTTTATGGCTCAGAAGTTGTTAAACTATTCCTGATAATCTAACATAGCTACTTTTCAAATATGCGCTATCAGATCAACCTTTGGTTTCATTTTTTATATTGATATTTAGCAGGCTTATTTTTTCTCACACTAAGCTTCAATAGAAGCACCTAGAGATTTGCTGTATATTTCAAATTGATCAGTGTTTTATAATTGTGTATGGTTTCTTTCAAACTTCTTGATAGTTAATAAAGCATGTGTAGCAGCATCATGTGATACTGAAAGTCTCACTAGTTCCCTGGATTACCAGACTTTGGCTCCCAGTATCAGAAATTCATGTAAATAGCTTCCACCTCATCTCTTTCTTAGTGGTTCTTCAATATCTTCTAAGGAGCAAGTACAGGGTATCCATTGCATTTCCTGAGTGTCTGTTGGTCCCTATGCCATCATATGACATATATCCAAATATACAGTATAACCATATATATACGATATATCCAAATATATCCAAAATAACAATATGACTTATGATCTTTCCTGGCCCATTACCAAAAAGGGATGCCAGGAATTAACTTTGTCCAACACTCTATAAAACATGAAGGCAAAAGGTTGGGCATTCTGCTCTATGGATAATAACATGAACTTACAAGTAAAATGTGTTGTGTATTGTATTTCACTTCATGCATAGGAAAACACAGTTTTAATCCAAGATCCTGCTTGAATGGATTTGCAGTATAAGAAAGGTGAAATGGCAGGAAGTGACAAATTAGCTTTACATGATCTTGAGTCTGCAGGGGTTTTTGTGCATTTTTCTGCTTCCTTAGCTCTAATCACACAATTCACATGCTCTTCCTGTGCATAGTGATACTAACTCTATTACTCATCAGAAATTTCCAGTGAGATTCCTGTCTTAAATATGCTATGGAAGCTAGACAACAAACCCCTTTTTTGAACTTACAACATACTTTTTATCCTACTTTTATTGTTCAGCAATGCAAAATGCTGAATTGCTGTGACATAAGGTATTACCATTTGTTTTGTTATAACACAGCCAGGAAAATAGGGGGTAGATAGCTGTTATACGACATTGTGAGACTAGCCATACTTTATGGATCTGGCAATAATGATTTTCAATTAGAACATTTAGTCGTTTCCTCATTAGCCTGTGTAAGGAGCTCATAATCTCAACTGGTGGTTAAAGGAGTAATGTAACGCCGTCTCAGAGACATAGCAGGCAATATTTGCTTTTTCTTTTTTTACCTCTGAGATTTCCAGCATTGGAGATCTTAATGTGATAGGGACAGTGTAAATTCACTGACAGGGAAGCAGACATCTCCATCTAAAATACTATGTTCATAATGTTTATTCCTTTGCATTCTTAATCCACTCAGACTTTTTTCTCTGACCTTTTACTCCTTTCAGTTTATCTCCTAGTACTGAAGCTACTGACACCAAAACTGCTCTCTGCCAGGTTTTACTTCTGACACTGTTTAGATAAAAGACCTATGGAAAAATCCAAACAAAAGTGCCCGAATGGCATATGTATAGGTCATTAGTCCTATTTTAATCTGATTTTCTAATAGCCATATATTTCCATAACTATACCTTGTTCACTTCAAATCTCTTAAAGCTTCAAAAATCTTCTTTAGATCCATGATGTGACAGACCACTGTTCAAACACAAAGTCTCACTGTTACTTCACAGAGTATTTTGGATTAAGGGTTGCGTTGCTTGAAATCATTTATATGATTTGGGCTTAAGTCGGTGAACTTTCCATGTCTGAAACATGTCCTTTTGTTGCAAAAACATTCACACACCATTTTTTTTCCCCATCTTAAAAGGTAATGCTGATATGGAAAAAGATAGGGACAGAGCTGAACTGAAGTTATAAAGAGAACCAAGTGTTCACAACACTACACTATGCTAAAGTAAGTTTAGAAACAGTGTTTTGTTTCAAGAGTTGTTTTAAGACTTTTCTCTAGTTTCTAACCTTTTCAAGTAATAAAAAGGAATTGCATCCACTGAGAAGAGACTTTGGCAGTCAGTTTAATGTAATGGGTTATAGAAAATTTCTTGTCATAATATTTAGGACATTATCAGATTAATTTTCAGTAAAAGTTTTTGCTTTATGGAATATCTAAGAATCTCAGAAATCAGGAAACTAATTCAGACGGTTCTGTGTGATCTCAGAAGAGTGCAAGTTTTCAGCATTATAATTCTAATATTTAGGATTTTTTTCAGTGTAAGGATTTAATCTATTTTTAAAGACTAGTAAAAAATTTTTGTTACCCGTAGTAACTACCTGGCAGAGAACAGTTTTGATGGCAGTAGCTTCAGCACTGGGGGATAAACTGAAAGGAGTAAAAAGGTCAGAGAAAAAAATCTGAGTGCATTAAGAATGCAAAGGAATAAAAAGTATGAATTTTTTTTTACCCATAGTAAAAAAATACTAACAGGGCTGTTATCTAAAAATAAGTAATCCATTGGTTTGTTTAGAGTTTCGACTAACAAAAATCTTAGTATTAAACCAAAGCAGTTTGTAAGGTGGTGTAACACAAAGCAATGCTAGGCCAGGGATGTCAGCTTTAGCTTTCTAAATGTTACCTATCTTCATAGAATAATTTTCTGTTCAAATAGTAAGTACTATTTAAACGCAGTCATTCTGGGAAGGGAGGATAAAACTATTACTTTCCCTTACACTGAAATAATTTGAACCCTGTTTGTAGTGCCAGACCTTAATGCAACTTGAATTCAGTTACTAGTAATGCATCAATGGGGAAGATGTAGCCAAAGCAGTAGAGGAAGAGCACTTCCTGCTAGTCCTGCCCTACCTCAAGAGGTAACCAGAACCTGCCCTCATGATGTCTAACATAAAGTTGTTTGCTGTTAATGCCACTGTCTTCCCAGCGCAATGAAGAAATAGTCCATATTTTTCACATACGAAAATCTATGTTGACAGTGGAGATCCCTCCTTATGAGCAGCAGTGCTAATTTCAGATCTCTCATCTGAATCAATAGCAAAATAAGTCCCCTAATTCTATGATTCTAATACAGTGCTTTTGGAATTAGAAGGCCATACTCAGTTTTTCCCTGAAAATTGATGGAATTGCAACCCTTTAGGTAACAACTGATTTGGATTTCATCAAAAACTGGTGGTGTTCATCACATGCCTTTTAAGTAAACTGCATCTACAAAGCAGGGGGTTAATTGTGTCCAAGCTTCAGGTTTGATTCTCTTGTATGCATTCCCTTTTTAATTTCAGTCAGGTTTGGGTCTGTATCCTAGCTTCTTGTCTGAACTTCAAAAGTGTTTCTAAAGCTAACCACTGTCTAACAATTGCCACATTTCCTCCCACAGGCAGTTATGTTTCACTTGCGGTTTAAGTAATCCATAACATGTTATTGGTTACTGTGAGTTTGTCAAAGCATTAATATTTCTTTGAGTTACTAATATCATTGAGAGACAAAGAAAATCTCATTCATTTCCAAAACTGAGTACTGCTGGCAAGGAAACTCACTAAATGCTAGTAGTTTCTCTATGGCAAGGCACTATTAAGAGAGAAGGATAGAGAAAAAGAAATATTGCTCTGGAACGAGATCCCACACTGTGTCACTGTTCTGGTATATCGTGAGAGAGAAACAGCTAAAATACAGATAGAGACTGGGATTTTTTTGAGAATTTCTGACCACAATAAATTTAGGTTTGGAACTTAAAAAAATACCTAATACTGAAGGAGAACTGCCTAATACCGAAGGAGAACTTGTTTGTATCTAACATATTGGAGAAATTGTTTGAGAGAAGTTCATTCTAATGAAAATATTACTTTTGTAACGCTGCCAAGATCAGTGTTTTCTCATTCATGAATCAGAGTTCTTTGCTCATTTGTGGCTGGTTTCTTCTCATCCTCTTTCTTTTCCTACTGTCTTTTTATAGCAAAAACCCATCAACAGTTGGCTAGCTAAGCACTTGCTCAAGTATCAGTTACGAGGGGTCTTTAGAACAAGTTAACTGGGCCTCATGTCTATTTACACAAAAGCACTGATGTGCTCTTCTTATTTGTGCAGTTCACAAAACTCTTTGATTTTGTGTGGACACACTGGGATTCTTTTGCAGCTATTTAGCTCTACTGGAGAAGAACTTGTGTGTCTTCTAGTAAGAAGCCCGAGAAAGGTGTCAAAAGGCTGTTCTTACTGCAGATGTGGGGGGTCCAGCACAAGCAAAAGCACAGTATGGGTTTAATTCCTGCCACCAAATTAAGTGTGGGTTCAAAGAACAAATGAGTGCATACTTTAAGATCTGGAGGAACTGGGCAAAAACATGGAGAACTAACTGGGTAACACAGGTGTAGGTGTCTTTCTCTCAGAAACAGCTATGTCATGACTAAATGTCAGTATAGGTCTGTCACTACAGGTAGCCAGGGCTTCCTCTTCTGTGAGGGATTTTCTGCCTCCAGGGCTTTCTTTTCTGAGATGGATTCTGTTCATATGAAACCTGGAGACTCCTGACAGTTACATAGCTGTGGATGTTCTGTGCAGAAGAATATTGGCCATTTCATTATAACACATCCAACTAAAATAAAATGATAGTTGGGAAAGGAGGGAGGGAGGGAAGGAAGGGAAAAGAAGGCATTACTGCTTACCACAAAATGTTCCTCACTTTCTCGTCATCCCCTAAGGAAATTAACAGAGTAAATTAACAGGAAATTTACAGGAAAGTTACTGAAGCACTGACACAGATGAAAATCATACAATATGTTGTACCTGGGTCCATTAAAATTTGAGTGTGTGGGCGGCAAGGAGTGTAGTTCCATGTGCTTTCCACCCCACAGGCAGCTCCACAACTTCCTGTTGTGAAGGTTTCTCCTCTTTCATGTGTGGCTTTGTGCGGGAGGCTTGCCTTTCCCTCGGTTGACGTATTTTCAGCCTGTGTCCAGTATGCTCATTCAGCCTTGTGCAGTATGCTCATCCAAAAAGGCTGCATATAAATTTGACTTATGAACTCTGTAGGGTGGTGTTATGAAGCATTAATCTCAACTAAGAATAATTTTTCATTAGGTAAACAGGAGATGACATAGTGTATGATTTTTTTTTCCAGACTTCTCAGTATGTCCTGTTCAGGAATCAGGACCAAAGACAATGTTATTTTAGTTCTTTTTGGAATATGTTTACTCACTCACAATGTGTTCTGTTCTTCTTAAAGTGACGCATGTTTACTCAGAAAGGAGTATACCAATCACAATAAGAATATATTTTCTGCTTTAATATGAAGTGTTTTCTGGCAGCCTGAAAGAAAATTCTGAGCCTAAAGTCTGAGCTCACCAGCAAAGTAATAGGCCCAGGCTTTAATGATTTACAATCAAATTGTATGCTTACTCTTTTGCTTGAGTTTTTGAACTAAGGGTCAACATGAGGGTTAGCTATATCTTGCTGAAACATAGACAAATGTGACTGAACCATTAAATTTATTCTTAGATTTACTAAGGGAGAAGACAGCAGAATGTATGAAAGTGTAGATCAGAGCTAAGATTTTGATCTTCATTGTGGATCAGATCTGGATAACAAGGTAAATGTTCTGTGGCTGAATGACTGTCAAGGATTAGCTAGAACAATTAAATAGATCGATGTAAAGTTCATGTAAATAATTTTTTTAATGATTGAAGTCTAAGTGTTTTGACCACTAAAACAAAGAGGTACAGAAGCCTGTTTGATGTCATGAGACATGGATAAAGAGGATGGAGGGCTTACAACATTTTATATTGGAAATATTTATCTTCATCTCTCAGTCATTGTCAACAAGCATTCAGATTCTGTTGACACAGCACTATTAAACTTTTTTCAGCTTTAGTAACATGAGTTTGTTTTACATTTCAAGGGATTTAGCTAAAAATTAGTAATGAAAACATACTACATTTACAGTTACCATTTTGGTTTGACTGGTACAGGTCAAACAGCTTTGTATTGTATTGCCTTGAATGTGTAGAGTATACTATGGAAGGGATATTTCATGGTTAAAGAAACTAATGTTTTCCAAATTGAAGGCAATCACGTTAAATTTTTATGATATAAGTAGCATCAATAGAGCTTGAACAGGCACAGATGTCAGTTGCTTCATATACCAGATTGTTTATCCGGGATATTCTAGTTAAAAACAGTTGGGCTAACTTTGAGGAACCTATTTCATAGGTCTAAAGAATAAATATACAGTCTTTCTGAAGAAACTATAAATATGATTTGAATATGTAAACAATATAGATTATATGCTCTTCTACCATTTAATTTACTAACAGTATTTTCACTTGTTCTCTGTCTGGAATCATATACAATTTAAATACAAAATACAAACTGTGGTTCAATAGTATTACTGTGCTCTACTATATCTATTTCTTCAGCCTATTAAGCCTTTATATAGCTCAAATAGGCTTTATCCTAAACACTTTGGGAAAAATTAGGCAGTTTAAAGATTTTGATCCTCCATGCAAATCTGTTAGAACATTTTGTTTAGACAGCAAATAGAGTGCATTTGGTGGATACAAGTACCATGAGTCCCAACTGGCTAATTTATGTGGGAGTGTGGATCTTTCATCTCCACACCTCATTCCAGGCCACTATTTTTTCCCTTTATCCTATCCTCAATGAGCAGTTGCATGTCCATTAATTACCCTGATGCTTGGAGAGCAGACAAGTAGGCTTTTCTGTTTCTGCCATAAATGCCACTCCATGAACCAGCCACTAGGTCATGCTCAAGTGCAATGGAATCTTGTTTTCCCCTCCCAAATTTCTAGCATCACCTCCACCATGACTTCTGCTTCTTTCAGGCCAATGGTTTCACAAATACACTTTATGTGGTTGGTATAAAGAAAATTTTTATACATTTAAACATATTAAACATCACAGGAGCAGGATCTAGAGGTAATTGTGGAATTTATCTTTTTCCCCCTAAAGCTTCTCTCACGTTCTTAAAATTGCTTATTTTATCACTGTGGAATTAAACAATATTGTAAAAAAAATCCTAGAATTCAGCTTTTCTGAAACCACCTAAGAGATTGTATCACCAATATTTTCTCTCTCGTGAGGACAACAGCTATTGAAATAGAAGATTCTTTGTCTTTCTTTGTGCATTTTCATCAACAGGTATTATTCGTTATCTTCAAATTTTGTGTAAGTAGATTTTTTTCAGGAGTATATTTCAGAGAAAAATGAAATTATATTTAATGAAGATTGTTATCTCTGAAAACACTAAAATATTAATTTTCATACTTGCAGTGGAAATATAATTTTTAATTCAAAATATGATCAAGAAAATAAGTTATTAAAATGCCATGTTATTAAATAACAAAAGCCCCTGAGAGATCTCTATGCAGAAGAAATTGTGGATATTTTGGAGCAGTTCCTGAGTCATTAGTATGTAAAGAGTCTTTGGTATGGAGAAGATTAATGGACATACCAAACTGAAACAAATCCATTTTCTTCATATGGGGTTTTGCAGCTTTTCCTACAGCCTTTCTGGAAATTAGGGAAGACATTTGCATTTAAATAAGATTATTTCTGATGGAAGATTATTAAATCAAGAAGATGATTCCTTAGCATTTTAAGCTTTTTTGAAGTATGCTGCACATCTAAAAAGACTGAAAACCACTGGCTTAAACAGACATTACATAACCCTAAGAAGTCTGTTATTTGTGGAATTTGATGAATATATGGTGAAATACATTTGATGCAGCACTCTTTCCATTGGCTTAATCAGTCCTATGGAATGACATCACCTTGATGATTCTTTCTCTAACACCTTCCCTTTGAAAAATTTCCTTGCCTTTGGGCCACAGATGAGTTTAACAGTACCAATCTCTTCCAGTGACTACTGCCTCACTTTGTGGCTTCTACCACTCATTTGTGAACTGTTTACACTATGCCACTTCAGATGCAATCTTGGAAACAGTAGAGAAGTTGAAAAGATGGTTAAATTTGTGTTCTCTGTTTAAGGCATTGTACAGGATTTGCTCTACACAAATTGTAGAAGAGGAAGCAAAGAAACAAGGGCCAGCTAGCAAATCAGGTATAGAGCTAAGATTAGATGTAAATCTGCTGAATCATGATTTTAGTTTCTTTTCAGTCTGTCGTACTTCTTTCCTGCATTATGGCTAATCTTTATCAGTCCTTGCTACTGACATGCAGCTACTTGGCCAGTGCATTGCTGAGCATCTGGCAACTGAACAAATGTACTTTAGAAAGCAAGGTGAGAAAACTGTTAGGTAAAGTGGTGAGTTAATCATATTTTTATATATAGGATTGTGGAAAATGAAACTCGTGGTTGCTATTTATCATCAAAAGCTTCCATAAAGGCTCAGCTGGTTGCTAGGAATCACCATGGAATGAATATTTGTCTGACTACCAGCATTTAGTTGAGGAATAGCAGAATAAAGGGTTGCTACCCACAGGGAGGATTTAATGACCTGCACTGGGCTGCAGGTGGGAACTTTAAGAAGAGTTGAGGCTTATCCATTAAGGGTGCTAGACACAGGACTACAGGGATGATGATGCTGAGGAAAAGATTAAAGAATATAAAACCCGGTAGCTTCTGAGGAGGAACATTAAACTGAGATCTGCAATAAAAACTTTTCTCTGCCTGAGAGATTTAAAGGGATATCTACCATGAAATTGATTTAGTCATTACTTCTTAGGTGGAAATAATAAGTAAAAATTTATTAAATCACTCTAAAGGGGATCCACAATGACAAACTGTGACTGGAGACTGTCTTTTGAAATAAGGTACAGAGTAACTTAAAAGCTCTTAAAACAAGCAAATATTCTATAGGCATTCTTTCTATTCTCAATTATACTGATTTCATTCTGCTTAATTAGGGTCTGCTTAAGTTTAATCATAGTCTTATCTAAGATTTCAAATTGAGGTAGGATAAATAATTTATAAGTAAGATACAATTGAATCTACAAGAATCTGAATCTACTAGAAATGGAATTTAACTTGTAAATTTAATCTAAATACAGTTATTAGAGTATTCATAATGTAATAATGCATTTTTAATGGGTATCAAGGGTTTATTGTTGCCACTTACTGGGTTACAGTGGGCCAGATCATGTTCTGCTGATCTGAGGCCTTAAAAGCAGGAGGTTTGTCGTTACAGGTATGTCGTTATACACTCAGTACTGAATGTATATGCGGTGTTTCATAAATACTGTCTGAATCTGACACCTCACATATCATATTTGCTTAGGTATTTTTCTTAGATTTCCACAAATCACCCATGAGTTATAATACATGTAGTAATTGGTAGAACATTTTGAGAGGTGAAAGTCGCATGAAATTAGTTAAAAATTACTGGTGTTGATCTATGACACAGGAACTAAATGTGCACACCCATAATTTGCTTCATGATAAAAGAAAGTGGGCTTGCACTGTCTACCTTCAAAGCTTTTTCATCTGTTCATAACTTTAGCATGCAGGGATCCTTCCAGTGAGAGACTGTTATATTGTTACCATGTTTAATCTTAAACCTGCTGATGATGTGACTTGGTTGGGTTGTATTTTCTCCGGGTAATTTTATGGGACTACTGAAGTGAATTGCTACTGGGTTACTAAGGTCTTCTGATTTTAGACCAAAAACAGATTTGGTTTGGAAAACTACATTTTATTTGCTCATTCTACAGGCCAATTACTGTAAATATTTTAAACTCAATATTTAATCACTAATTCCTTAACAATAAGGCACTTAAATAGTGCCTTGTTTAATGTGCTTTTTTATATTATAGCAGAATCAAGGTTAATTATGTTAATTTCTGCATTCAGTGCTCCAAAGCAACAAGCAATAGGTTCTCTAGAAAAAAACAAATATGTAGAGGTAACCGTTTTCACCACCCACATTATGTTATGAGTACAACAGGGTACTCTAAGTGCTTTGGCAATGAACATGAAAA